AAAATTTTAGCAGAGAAAAAAACAAGTTGCAGAAAAATATGTACCTTATGATACCAGTAATATAAATTTTTAAAATGTTACTCTAAACAATAAATTATTAGGAATATGTACATATGCAATGATAAACCAAAATTCCGGCTTTTGGGGAGAAGAGGGAAATACTGTTGGGGAAACAGAGGCTCCAACAGTTCTTGAGTTGGGTGGTTTAGTTCACAGATGTTTGTTACACTGTATGTATAAATCATTTTACAATTATTTTTTGCTTTTAAATCAGTTTCATTTTTGTATATATGAAAGATTTTACTTTGCCATCAGTTTTATTTTTCCAATTTTATATTTTAATTTCCATAGAATCTTGGCAATATAAAAAGAAAAACTACAGAGATGAGAATATGCTCATTATTTTTTTAAACAAGAAAGAAAAAAACCCTTAAATATGTCCTTTCCATTTTTAGCCTAATCCTAGAACAAAGATTTATAGACAGCTTGCTGGCAGAGCAACCTTAGATGCCTCCTGAGAGAAAAAAATGAGGAGGATTTAAAATCAGTGCTTAAGGCAAAAAACAAATCACATGTAATCAAGATTATCCTTAGAAAGCACTCACACCATACTTAAGCTTAAAAGTCAACATTTAACCAAAAGAATTGAAAGCAAGCTCTTGAAAACATAATTTATATACTCTGTTCATAGTAGTATTATTTAAAATAGCCAAAAGGAGGAAGCAGCCCAAGTGTTCATTTGACACATGACTAGATAAACAAAATGTGGGTATATGTTCAATGGAATATTATTCAGCCATAAAAAGGAAATTCTCACACATAGTACAGCATAGATGAATCTTGAGGACACTATGCTAAGTGAAATAAGCCAATGACAAAATGACAAATACTGCATGATTCCACTCACATGAAGTTCACAAGAAAGTAGTCACGTTCATAGAAACAGAAGAATGGTGGTTGCCAGGCTGGGGGAGCAGTGAATGGGAAGTTAGTGTTTAATGGGTATTGATTTTTGCAAGATGATAGGAGATCTGGAGATTGGTTAAACAATGTGAATAGACTTAACATCACTGAAGTGTACACTTAGAAATAATTAAGATGCTAAGTTTTATATGTATTTTATTACAGTTTTTTTTAAAGTCGGTTATTAGTTTCTTGTGTTATCTTTGTGCATTTAACTTACAGAAATTCAACTAAAGGCATATGCCCCTTGCTTAGCCCTGACCTTCTTGCCTCTCCCCTCATTCAAACCAGAATTTTGCTCCTACATCCCCAGGAAAACAGCTTAACTTTCTCAGATTCTTTCTTTGGGCCAAGCACCTATATTTGAATTCACATGCCAGATGGTGCCCCAATATATCTCTTACTCTTTTCTTACTAATCATATTTTATAGTTGAGGAAATGAAGGTATTGCTGAGCAGCATGAAGAAGGGTTTGGCCTCTAGACCACACGACACTTAGATGTCACAGAAGATACCTCATGCATAAACTGATGAAGTAAATCATGAGGGCTTCACATTCTCTTTTTGAGCCATCACTGTGTGCAAAACACAGATTTGCACTAACTCAGAATATACAATGTTTTGGTAGAGTTGAATAAAAATTGCCTTGGCATTGTCCACAGAAAGGGGTTTCTAAGCAATGCAGTAGTAGCAGCTTTAGCAAAAAGGCAGAGTACTGATCAGTCTTTGGGAACTATAACCCCAATTTTTGTTAAGTTCTGATTCACAAACAATTGATATCCTGTCATCTTGATATAGAAATAAATCCTTCATACACCTAAAGAACACTTTAAAGCAGCAAATTATTAGCTCCATTTAAGTTACGTACAGTTGAAAGAAAAACAGCTTTATACACTGTGCATGTTTGTATTTCTTCAAAGCACCCAACTGTGCTTTGCCCACAGGAAGTAGTCAATAAATGGTTTTTGAATTTAGAGTGTCCTTCCCAATCAGTGAGGTTTAATATATTTCCAATTCAGAATCCCTATTAATTTTTCAGCATTAGTAAACCTTTTAAAAAATCCATTTTGGGTTGTATTCAACAGTTCATAGCAAATACTGTTATATAAATGGTTAAGAGAATACTGTGAAATGAAACACGCTTATTCAACACACCGGCAGCCATTGATAAAACGTAATTTAATTTAATCATTTAAATTTACATTGTTAATGTACAAGAGCATTTCTTTCAAACCACAGGTTAACACACACTAAAGAGCAATGCTGTTAGAGGAGCAGAGAAATTTTGGAAAACTCTGCTGTCTGAAATAAAAGCAAGGCACTCTCCATTAACAGCTGGTGGATTCCTGATTTCTGCCCACAGAAGGCTTGTTCACACTGAGAGAGCTCTCCCACAAGGGAAGAATCACCTGCTTTAATTCTTGCTGTCCTCTCCTGAGCTAGTTTGGTCATCATCCCCTCTGTACAAACTGTGTGTCAACATTAAGACAGAAAAGAGTTGAATTGATAGATGACTTAGGAGGCTCTCATAGTTGTAATAACTATGGAAGACAGAAGAACACTGGCTATAATCTTTATTGTCAGCACTAGTGTCTGAACCTATAACTAAAAAAGTTCATTCCTTCCAACCAATTGATATCATGGCTAAAAAGTTTTTTCCTTAAATCTGATGGGTATAAAAATTAAAAGTAACAGCATTTCTCTAGGGTTCTTTTTATTTTGTTTTGTTTTTCCTTTATAGACATGACAACAAGGATTAACTTTCCAATACAAATGGTACGCAAAAGGGTTATGTATGCACAGTATTTCTAATTTATTCAAATTCAATTTGAATTTGGTCTGAAGCTACCTTGTGTGAAATGTTAGCTTTCCTGATATTTAATAATGTTTATTATGTTTGCATATAAGCTCAACAAAATTAATGCAAAGTACTACTTTATTCATGGTTATCATCAGGTAAACTATAAATGTTAGTGGTTATTTAAAAAAGCCTATTTTGCTATAGATGCAGTTAGTTGAGTAAAAAGACTATGGAAAGGACAATTAGGTCCTAGTGTTGAATCTGGTACTAGCTATTTGACCTTAGATTGCTCTTTAACCCTTTTTCACCTGGGTCCCCCTTTGTTCCTCCAGGAATTTCAGGGGGTGGACTAGCTGAAAAGTCAGGCCCCTTCCAAGTCTCACATTCCAAGGTCCTAACATTCCAGATCCTATCATCTTGATATAAAAATAATAATCTTTCATAAAAGCTCACACAAACATAATACATGATCAAATATCAGAATGACTCTTGGAAAAGAAAAACATACATGATATGCTATCTGGGTTATCTTTTGCAGCAATTAGGCAATTCATTTGGCATTTGTTTGATTGTATAGTTTAATGACAATATAAACAGCATAGTTTTGTTGTTTTTCCTTTAAAAAGACTAAAGCAAAAATGATTTAAAGCTAACAAAACTACTATGACATCAGTTTGACATTCAAAGTTTGTTTCTTAGCAAAATGGCCAAAGATATTTTGACTTGATACAGAGTATATAATATAAAGACTTTTAGACCTAAAAATCTTCAAACCTTATTTGAATTTAGCAAAACATAAGCAAAATTTTAATATCAAAGTGCTAAACAGTACTGCCTTAAAAGTCACTGCAAATGAACCATAAAATAACTGCATGGAAAGTAACATTTATCGTACAAATGGTTAATAAAAAGACACATTATAAATATATATATGTAACCTGCTATATTTATATATATATATTTGCTTATTTAATTTCTAATTGGTGTATCCAAGTCACTGTGAACACCCCATTTAAGTACTCTGTAACTCAGGTTCCAGGAGCTGGTGGTCTTGCAATAAATACAGGCAAAGCTATTACAATATAACGTGCATACAAATGTTTATACAAATAAGGACACTATGCAACAAATTATCTCATAGTAATATGGCATTAACAGTATAAACATACAAAAGGGAGTACGAACACGGAATGTTGAAACGCAGCCCACACTAATCCCTTCTAGTACTCACATTCATACTATTGTTTTTTAAAATAAGACTTCCTTGCTCTCCAAAATTGTCTCTTTAACCAAGAACAAAAATTAAATTATATATATTTTTAAAACTTTATTACTCCTGGTGTTTACCCTGTATGATCCAATTCCTACTTATTTCTATGTTCTTATTTAGGGATTGAACAGTTAAGACTCACTGAACTCTCCCAGGCCTCTGATGAAAGTATCAGTCAGTTGCTATAACTGAAGCAAGTTTAGAGAACTCTGGCTAGGTTGAAGAACACAACCGAAACACCTGTATGCGATCCATTTTATAATCTGAGCCTGTCTCAGGACAGCTGGACACTCAGGGCAGGTACCTGGATCCATTAAGAATGGCCTAAAATCTTGGTTGGACCATACCTCCGAAGGGTTCTACAGGGAAGGTGGACCTCTGCCAGGAAGCCTCTGCTAGGAAAATTGCATGTGTCATTTGCTAACATGACTACCTCCTTCCTATTTCCATAAAAAAATAAAGGAGCATTAATAAACAAGACTTGGTAAGACAGCACTTTAAAAATTGCACTTGTATTTGGAAGCGAACAGCCATTAATTATCATTTTGCTATGTCTGATTTATAGGTAGTCCTCCATCTTTCACCATTTGACAAAATAAAATAAAGGAAGAAAGAAATTAAGAAGAGGAAGTTTCTGCCTTGTTTGCACCACATACATACCCTTGATACAGGAAGTGTATTCTAAAGGGATCAATCTCAAGACACATCCTACCCTGGCGAACAACCCTTGGCTGTTCTTGTTTTTAAATACAAAGCAACTATAATTGTATTCCCCAGAAAGAGTTTTAAAACAGTTATATTATCCTTTTTTTTTCCTGCTGGGATAGCATCGTCCAAAAGTGCTTTGTTAGCAATTTCTTAGAAAATCCTCATGAACTATACCCCCCTCCCACCCCAACCCCAAAGCCTAAATATAAAACACAACCCCAACACAATACTCTGCAAGTTTTCTGGCTTTAGGTTGTAAGGAAAAGTGCCAGAAAAAAAAAAGAAGTCTTTCTTTTCTACAGGAGCTGCTTATTCTCTTAAGGAACGACAGAAAAATGGCAGATGTCCAGACCCATCCCTCTGCTACAGATGAGTTGCTAGCGGATGAGGCAGCTCCCTGCTCAGGCTGCGCCTGCTCAGAAAGGCAGGGTGTCCAGGAAGAGCTTGTCGATGATAGAAGGTGGAGACACCAAGTCTTCCAGCTTCAGGTAGAAGATACGCTGGAGGCCCAGGGTGCAGATCTTCCGCAGTTCCACCAGGGCACCCAGGACCTTGGGCTCGGTGGGTTCCAAAGCCTGTCCCTTATTCTGGTGGTCTTTTAAGCTGCTTGTGATCTTGTTGCATAGCTCCTCCACTTTCTTTGGTTCTTTTAACCCATGTCGTTCTGCAGAGGGATAGAAAAGAGCAGGTTTTACCATCAGAGTGACCTCCCTGTTAGAGGTAGTTCATGGCTGTTGGGATCAAAAAGTACCAGGATTTGATCCCAGTCCTGTCACTTCCTTACTGTGTACCGTCAAGTA